CTCATACATTGTTGGTAGGAAAGTAAAATGGTAGAGTCATTCTGAAAAACAGGCAGTTTCTTTAAAAACTAAACATGTGCCTAGCCGGTGTGGCTCAGTGGTTGAGCGTTGACCCATGAACCAGGAGATCATGATTCAATTCCCAGTCAGGGCATGTGCCTAGGTTTCAGGCTCCATCCCCAGGGTGGGACGTGCAGGAGGCAGCCGATCCATGATTCCCTCTCATCATTGATGTTTCTATCTCTCTCTCCCACTCCCTTCCTCTCTGAAATCAATAAAAATATATTTAAATTTTTAAAAAAGTTTTAAAGAGAGATCAACTGCCACTCTGTACTTTTCGTTGTATTCAGCAAGAATTAGAAGAAGAAAAAAAGTAGCCCTTAATCCCAACACTCAGCATAAACAGTTGCCCCTGCTAGAACTGTGTCCCTCCTCCTCTCAGGACAAGGTTACTCAACTGTGGGCCTCAGGGTCATTGCAGGAATGCGCAAAGCCATTGTTTCACAAGCACTACCTGTAAAATAACTCACCACCGCAATGAACTGAAGATCTCCTTAGCACCAGACTGTGGGTTAAGAATTTTCATATGTGACCTCACTAAACGCCCACAACATGGCACATGAGAAAAGTCTAGTTCCACTTCAGTACCAAAGCTACCAGCTAGAAAGTGGTTCATTTGAATCCAGACGGGTCTGACTCTAACGTTTCTGTCTGTAGATTAAATAAGTAAATTCATGTGGGGGAGGTTAGGAGGGCTTCATACGCAGATTCAAAAGAGTTCAAGCACAAGCAAGATTTCATACAAGTCTAGAGGCTTCACATTTGAAACTATAATACAGTCCTCTGGGGGGCGGGTTCAGGCCTCTTTAGGGAGCCTTCCCTAAGCCCATTTCCACAAATCCAATCCCCTCCTGCTTTGATTGACAGCATCCACGGTGCAGCACCCTTTCCCCCTTGAGTCAGTGAGCCTATGGTCTTCCCTGTAGATCCTTTTTGGACAAAGAACACAGTAAAAACAAGTTTGTATCCCCCATCACACCTTCTAGAGTAAATTGCACACCTACCTTGTGCAAGGCATTAATATGTAACCAATGTGTACCATTCACTGACTACAATGTTCAAGTTTATAGTTTACTTCCTGTTGTTACATTTAGAGTGGAGGATCTCCTGTGTAAGCTGCATAGGGATAGCATTACCAAATCACTTGTTAATCATCTCTAAGGAATTATGAGAAGAGTCTATTCTTTGTAACTATTATGGTTTCCATCAAAACACTTCCTGGCTTAATGCAATCCCCTCATGTAGGGATAGCATTTTGTAGTTTCCGATACTGGTCCCCACCTAACTGCAGCCCTCCCCCTGGAGGGTGGTCCATGAAGACCACTTACCCCTTTGCCCCCAACCATCAGCATCAAGTCACTGGAGCCCCAGCGCTGAGCATCACACCCAATCCTGAGAGGTTCAAGTCACTGTTCTCTCTGTCTTTCCCAGCTCCAAGGGCTCCCAACACCCCAGATCAGCGATTTTCAACCTTTTTCATCTCATGGTACACATCAACTAATTATAAATTTCTGTAGCACACACAAAAATATATTTTTTGCTAATCTGACAAAAAATAGGTATAATTTTGATTCATTCACACTGGACAGCTATTGTGTTGCTTGCTGTCATTTTTTGTTTTAATCCTCACCCAAGGAGTGAGGATATTTTTTCCATTGATTTTTAGAGAGAATGGAAGGGAAGGAGGAGATAGGAAGGGAAGGAGGGAGAGAGGGGAGAGAGGGGGAGAGAGAGAGAGCGCGCTACTTGAGAAAGACACATCGATTGGCTGCCTCCCACTCTCGCCCCTTCCGTCCATCCATGGGCTGATGCTCCAACTACTGAGCCAAACTGTCCAGGGCCTGTTGTCATTTTTTTATATGACAATCTAAGGGAAAAGAGGTCACTGCCCCTAACTAAGGAGTCAGGTATTGCATGTTTTAAACATTCTTGGGGCACACCAGGGTGCCTCCTGCAGCACACCGGTTGAAAATCGCTGCCCTAGAGGGGTGCCACTATGTCACAGGTGGCCCCAGGCCAGCTTTAGAGAACTGAGGAAGCCTGTTCGTCTCAGGTTCATCAAGGAATCAGTGTTGGACTGCTCCCTCCGAGGCTCTCTGAAGTCCCAGACTAGGGTTTCCTTGGGGAAGGGGATGTGGTGGCAGGGGAAGGAGTTGGTGGTTCAGGACACCTGCAGAGCAATGGACAGCTTCTTATTTCCTTCTGGGGAAAAGGGCTCTGGACAGCCTTGACTTTTTATTTATTTATTTATTTATTTATTTATTTATCTTTTTTTTTAACTTTTATTTTAGAGAGAGAGGAAGGGAGAGGGAGAGAGAAACATGGATGAGAGAGGAACATCATCAATCGGCGGCCTCCTGCTGTGCACCCCTACTGGCGATCAAGCCTGCAACCCTGAACGTGCCCTGACCGGGAATCGAATCGGCGACCTCTTGGTTCCTGGCCTAGGTAGATGCTCAACCACTGAGCCACACAGGCCGGGCTGGATAGCCCTGATGTTGATGGAGAGAGGAGTGTCCAGCAGATCCAAGGACCAAACTTGTGCCTTGGCAGAGACTGCCATCTTAGCAACTGGCCAGGAGCGAGAACCAGGTGCAAGAAAGAGGCCTCTGACCAGGGGATCCCCTCTTATCTTCAAGTCATTTGGAAATCCTACCCAGGCACCATTCGAAGGTTCCCAAGGACCGGCCCTGCCTCAAAGGGAAGGCTGAGAAGAGCAAGCCTTTGTCAACCCAGCAAGGAGGTAGGATTAGTGAGCAGCTCACCATGCTCAAAGGTGAGGTAACACGCTGGTTAGGTGCCAAAGGTCGTGCAGCAAATAGGTGGAACGTCAGGGCTGTAACCCAAGAGCAGTCTTGCTCTTTCCTAACAGGCTACACTGGGAATCTATAATAATAAAAGGGCAATGCTAGTATGCTAATTAGACCAGATGTCTTCAGGACGTCATTCCGGACCTCCTTCCTGACAAAGCCGGGGGCGGGAGGGAAGCCAGCCAGGGTCCCGGGTGCCTGCAGGTGGCCGGAGGAGGGAAGCAGCCCGGGTGCCTGCGGGCGGCTGGAGGAGGGAAGCCCGGGTCCCGGAGGGAAGCCAGTGCCGGCAGCCGGGGGCAGGAAGGCCTACTCTTGCACGAATTTTCATGCATCGGGCCTCTAGTCTAGTGAATAACAGGCCTAGAGTATCGAGCTGTCAGGCTGTATGGAACCAGATTAGAAAGAGCAAAGGACAGGAGTCCATGAGCTCTGCACACCCTTCGACTTGGAACGGTGAGTCATGATCACCTGGATTTAGGTCTTCCCCGCTAGACTGTACGTTTCTGGAGGAAATGGCTTCCCCAGCCACAGCACCCACCAGGTGCTGACAGAACATGTTTTCAGGAATGTCTGTGGAATGCCTGAGACTCCTGAAGGTTTCTGAAGGGCAAAGCAAGAGGGGAAGCGACGGGGAGGAATGAGGCCAAAAGGTTTAGAAATCTTCTCTCTCTGGATAAATAGGTTTTCCTGAGGCCTCGTGTCTCTCCCCTGAAACTGCAGGCCGGTAGCAGGAAGGCGACCTGTTTTGTGGACGCACAAAAAAAGCCAACGTTCAGCAATGTTGCCAGGCATCCAGAGGGGCCTGATTTAGCATCGTGAAGCATGTACACTTCGAGGCGGGGGGTACCTTTCCTTCCAGCCCTCCCAATAGAAGAGGGCAACCAGGAGTCCAGAGGCGGGGACTGGAGGCTACGGGGTAGCGTACATGCTTGAGCTTGCCCAGGGAAACCCTGGAAAGTAGTAAGAAACAGAAAACGAGGCACAGGGACCTCAAAGCAAGTTCAAAACACTGTGATCTCGGAATTCCGGCCAAAAGAGGAGTTGGTATCTTCCCCCAACTCCCACCATACAATTTTCCTCTTTTTTTTTTTAAATATATTTTATTGATTTTTTACAGAGAGAAAGGGAGAGAGATAGAGAGCTAGAAACATCGATGAGAGAGAAACATCGATCAGCTGCCTCCTGCACATCCCCCACTGGGGATGTGCCCGCAACCCAGGTACATGCACTTGACCGGGAATCGAACCCGGGACCTTTCAGTCCGCAGGCCAACGCTCTATCCACTGAGCCAAACCGGTTTCGGCCAATTTTCCTCTTTTGAGCCGAACAGTTCTCTCAGAGAAGCCTCTCTGGCCTCCTTCTCCTCCTTTTTGCATGCCCAGGCCCACACTCTGAGATCTGGTGTCCAAACTGTGTCCTGACCCCAGACTCAGGACCTGGCCCCGCGGAGCAGCAGGCCCGCTGAGTGGTGCCCAGGCCTGAAGGTAATTACCGGCGCTGATAACATCCTGGGAGCCCGGCCCTGCTGAACCAACAGCACTTCCACATTCGCAGCCTGACAGGAAGGCAGCGTGACGGATGCTGCTGGAGAGGCAGCAGCGCATCCTGCACCTGCCAGCATCCTACCCTTTGCACCGAGGACAGACGCAAACAGGCGGGGTAAGTGGGAAGGATCAGACGCGGTGTTTGGGGGCAGCTAAGGAGGAGAAGGGAGACGGCTGAGTTTAGTGGCCTGGGGTGAGCAAGACCCGACTGAAAAGCTCCAAGTTTACCCCCGGAGCGGGGGCCAGCTCAGAGGCAGTGCCCTGCGGACAGAGCCAGGCCTTGTCCTTGCCCTTCCCCTCAGACCAGACTGAGAAAGGCCCGCGCTCCGGGCCCTCTTCACGTGCAAGAAGCTAAGGATCTGAGCGTCCTGGACCAGAACCCAGAGCCCGGGCAGGCTCACCGCCCGCCCCAGCCGCGCCCCACTCTGCCAGCATTTCCTTCCTGTTGCCCGCGTGCGAGCGCGGGGTAACCACTCTCCTGCGAGCCACCCGCAGGTCGAGCAGCTGTGGGATCGGGGCCCCAGCGAAGCTGTGCAAAGCCCTCCCGGGGGACCGGCCCGCTCCCCCGCTTCCCCGGCCCCGGTACCTGATGGGACGGACGCCCGGCAGCCTGCTTCCTGCCAGCCCCCGGGGAGGACGGTGCGGGGCCCGAGCGGCCCCGGCGCCCCCGAAGCACGGCTCCCCCGGGGGGGAGAACCCCGGGGGGGGGAAACAATGATCCCC